CAGACGTGTGCTCTTCCGATCTCCCCAAAACCCCAAAACCCCAAAACCCCTATGAAATTATAGCGGGATACATAATCAGAATTTAGAAATAAATTCATGATCTATTAGATATTATGTGAAGTAGGTAAAAATAGAGGAAAAAACATGAAACAACAATGATATAAATGTTTTATACACATAATTAAATTACTCTACCAAGGAACTTCAACTTGAAAGTCTATATATATAAGTTGAGTGAAAAATTGTGGTGAATTTCGATTCCCAGACACTGTCTGTAATCTCAGAAACCATTTATGTATTCCTGTCTGATTAATTTTATTCAGACACGGACACCATAATCATGGGTGCTGAGACTAAGAGAAGGCAAATTAGCATCTTGGCCTACAGGTATGTCAAAAGCAGGCTGATGTTAATTTCTCTCTGGAAACGATAAAGTAGTAGTATGATTCGATTGAGGTACGATGTTCTGTTAGTTTTACAATGACCTCTGTATCTAGCTTGACATGTTAGTCTCAGATTGCGTAGTGGGATTACGAGACACATCTAGAAGATATGATTCGCTTGATGTAGTCCTTGGAGCACTAATTCCACTATCCTAGATACCATGAATTTCTGAAGAGACGTTTTCCTGTGAAATTTAATTGCCGTTAGAATGTGCGCCTTAGGAATTCACGTTTTCTGATCGTGCTCTTTAAAGCATAGAAGAAGCTGCTGATGGATTCTACCACAGGTTTCTGATCGAAAGAAAAGAAATATTTTGACGGTCACTTTAGGTGTTTATACCACTTTTGCCTCCGTTTCTCTTCTCTTTCTTAGCCATAAATGTTTGAATCCTATTAATCACTGGGTTAAACTCCTTGCTCGAAATATCGTTAGTTTTGTAGAAGGAGTATGGCTAAGTGATGATAGTTACATTGGTTGGATTCGTTATATTTTTCTTTTATAATTGCTCGTCAAAAGAAATTTTCGAATCACCCAAGTCTGAGTCTATCGGTGAGATTCTTTTTTATAGAGCCGAACACTTTTTGAGTAGGCTTTTGACTTCGAACTCAGCTCTAGATCCCTTTAGATAAGATCTTCTGAAGTCTGTGTTTAATTCGCAGCCAACTCCGTTATCATCAGAGTTCAAAGTGAGATATTTTTGAGAAGAGATCAATAAAAGTTTTCTCTCACTTAGTGGCAAGCCAAAACTGGTCTTAGTAATAAACTATTTTGAGTCTCTAAGCTTTTTTATAGCCTTAGATTTTGCACTCTTGCCAGGAAGTTAGTCTACTATCAAAGTTATTTGATTTTCAAGAGTAGAAGTAGCGAGTTGACTCATAGAATCTAAAGTAGAAGAGGTCTCCTCAGGATAGTTTAGTGTAATTCTCATTGATTATAACTTTTAATCTTAATAATTAATTCTCAGTTTAAATAAGCCCTTAATCTCCTTCAATGATTTCTGATTAATTAATTCAGAAGATAATCAATTCTTAATTTCTATGCTTCATTACTTTTACACGGGGTTTTGGGGTTTTGGGGTTTTGGGGTTTTGGGG